TTATTAATTAGGTATGGTAATTTTAATTTATTATTTTGTATAGTAAATTTTACTTCTTTCTTATTTTTTATTGCTATTTCTTCATCTCTATTTATATTTTGTTGGGTCCAATAAGGTCTCTAACTACTCTCTGATGTGAATCGGGACACAGTCCCTTAACGAGTCGGTTTCGTTATTAGATATTTTTGCAATTCCTATAGGCGTTTTATTTCATTAATTTTAATTGTTAATAAAGTAAAATAAAAATATTTAAATCGTTAAGCTAATCTAAATTAATAAACTATTGAAACATATCTGAACAAAATGTCAAGCACAAGATTGAAAATAATAAGCTGATACAGGTTTTATTTTCTTGTTAGGATACTCAGATGCAAACACGAGCAGCAAGATCTGCAAGTTTCTTTATGTATGTATCATTTATGTTGAAAATATTTTAGATTCCTTTGACTATTTCAGGCTTTATTAGTTATGATATGAATGCCTCCTACATTGTTCATATTAAAATATTCAATTATTGTGATTTGTTATAGTTGCAAGGCAATCTGATCTTACTGATTTATTAAGTTACATTATTATTTCCTTCAATAATTTGCTCATTAACCAAAAATTTTTGTTTTTTCAATATGTTCTACTTATTGATTGTTTTAAAAAAAAAAGGCGCGCAGATATTATTATTTCTTGTGTATAAATATGGAAAGGGCAGAGTTTCCAAAATAAATTTCTGCTCCATTGGATCAGGCAATATCTTCACTTTCGCCACACGTTTGTACAGTGCAAAACGTTTTTATTACAAATTCGTGAGTTCTGCTGCAAATTGCAGCTTGCCGCGTTTAATATTTTTTTATACTTTGAGTTCGTTCGGTCGGGCTGATCATTTCTGGTTGCGTTCCTTTCTGCGAGGCGGTGATGCTGGCGTAAATTTTCAATATTATGCACGAAATCGCACGCAAACGGTAATAAAAATGCCCGAGCACACCAAAAAGTGCTCCGGCAAGTCAGTCAATGGGCCTGTTGTACAATTTCCTAGACCAGCAGCTGCTTAGCGCCCCACTCCCTTCCCCCACATATAGTTGTACTTATTATAGTTGAGCAGCGTGTGCCATTTGACACGCCCATAATTGTCGATTGTCTTTATACACACACATATATATACATAAGTATACACGCATATCGCACGAGTCATGCTGGGGGCATTCAAATTTCGGTGCGTATATTGAAATATGAACGACGACAATGAATACGACGACGACGACGACGACTTGGCGATAAAATTTGGTAGATGAAAATTTTCATATAAAGTACCTTTTCTTGGCATTTTAATGGCGCGCTTTATGGAAGGATTAAGCACATAAACTTGTCAATAACTCGAGTATGTGTGCGCTCGATTTTGTCAGAGCAATATATCCGGCGAGCATCTCTAATAATGTCACCGCAAAACACATTGAACAACGAGGCAACGATTTTATTTATGAGCTCAACAGAAAATACTTCTTCTTGCTGCATGTGGCGCGACAGCAATTGGGGGTAAGTAAGCGAGCAACGGGAACTGGTCCATGTGAATAACTACTTCGTATATTATAGTAATGGTAATGCGGACGTTTTGTTGTTCGAATAAGCGAGCATTAATGTACCTTACAACTAATAAACTATAATAATGGTTATTGTAGACCACTTTGGTTAAAAGATAAGTAGTCGAGAAACATGAACTCTTTCCTCCATCAACTGACTCGAAACAATTTTTAAATAAACAAACATGCCATCATTTGACATAGAAAGATAAATTTAAGTGTTTGATATTTTACCAAGCAAATCATTTGAAGGAAAGTGCATTTGAATAACATTTTTGAGTTTCAGAATAATCTTTTAAATACATCTATGAATATATAATTTATTAAATATATTTCAATAATTTGAGGCACTTATTTGTTGTTATTTATGTGAAAGAACAACGTGTCATCCAAGTTTTAATAACGAGTTAGGAATCTAAGATATTCAGAGTATGTAAGAACAGCGTTCAAGTTTTTTGAATCGAACGGTAAGGAAGACATCAGTAACGGTTACACATGCAAATAATTTGCACACTAATTTGTCGTATTTCACAAGTAGACTTTGAAAAGTCAATCACGAAGAACTTTATATACAAGTAGAATCCTAGAATATTGGGCGTATTTGCCTGAAAAGTATTTGCCTGTCTGACCGTAGTTAGATACAATGTTCAAATTATGTTCTAAAGATAGTTAATCAGTTATTATATATGGAATCAGTTATTATATATGTTTAAATATTCAGTTTTTATGCGATTTTTCTAATTTAATCTCTTTCTCTTTAATCTCTTTATCTTTAATCTCTTTATCTTTAATCTTTTTATCTTTAACTCTTTATCTTTAATCTGTTTATCTTTAATCTCTTTATTTATTAATACTGAAATACTCATTGCATGAATTGACTTTGCAGTCAAACAGCTCTTCTCAACAAATCAACCATGAAGAATGGAGTTCTATGTCAAAGCTTCGTTTCCTTTTCATGAATTCATGTTTTATGTTTTATTGAAATAAAATAGAAAACATCAGTCTTAGAATGCTAAGAAATCTTCAGCCAGGATTCATTCCATTTCCTGATGTAAGAAAAAAGAATATTCACAGCTCAGCGTCCGTTATTTCTAGAAAATATCCTATATAATACTATATATCTGCTAATATCAATAGTTTGTAATGTTGGGTATGCTAGGAAGAAATCGACACGGAATAAAACGAAAAATGTGGCAAGCCACCCAAAGATTACAAGCCCCGCAGCAATTATTTTATGATGCACAAAGGTATTGTAAAAAGGCAGCAAAAAAAATAAAGCAGCTGAAGCAAAGCAAACAGCCAAAGAGCCAAGCAAAGCCAAATATGTTGTAATGCGGCCAGCCAAGAGGCAATACCGAGTATCGGAGGCAGAGATGGCGAATGCTCGCCACAGTTCAATATGCAGCGGCAACACAAGGAGCACAAGCAATATTAAAATATCTTAAGGATATTATGTTATTACGCACACATTACACAACAGCCAGCAGACAGACGGATAGACAGGATTGCAGGCAACTCCACTCAAATGAGATAATTCCCTGTAAAATAATAATAAAATAAGCAGCAGGCAAGAGGCGGGCAGAGCTGTTCAACAGCGACCCACCCCAAACGCACAATTTTTATGATTTTCATATTTTCGCATATATACAATACTTATACTATATACTGCTGCCCCCTCGCCCACTTTTAAGTGCTTTTCAATATACACAAACATACACACATACATACATGAGGAGAATGCATTAAAGGTATCTCAGCCACGTTGCGTCATTTTGTTTGCCAGCTTTGGGATTTTGTGTGCCCGCCAGCTATGAGGTCGCTTTATTGCGCACAAGTTAAGGGATTTTCGTATTAAAACAAAACACAAATATACACACACACAGACACACTCACATAGTATATACATAGAGAACAACTTATATTGCCACGCTTCTCCCATGCCACCGATGTTCCTGTTCTCCTCCTTTTTTCTGTACTCTGCATAGTCAGCGCAAAATTCAGTGAACAAAATGTTAAGACAATTTTTAGTTTTGATCTAAATGCGTCAATAAATTTTAACACTTTTCCTCTTCGCCCAAGAAACAAAAGTCATTTACGAACTTACAATAAAAAGAAGCAAGACCATACATGTTTCTGCTTTTTGGGCCACCTCAGCGCTTTTTTTTGTTTTGTGAGCTCTTATCAATGGGCACATTTTAAAATCAACGCCCTTGCCAGCTTTTGGCCGTCTTATTTACGAGTTGCCAGAATGGTTTCGTTTGCTTAAGTTTTTCATTTCATTTATGACTCGCACTTTCACTCCAGCTCGTGCGAGTAGAACCAAGAAGCCCACACATGGCCGAGCCTTTCCAAACTTATCGCTTGATGCGCATCTCAACAGCCATTGAAGCTGAGTCTAAGTTAGTCAGCCGGTCGGATAGTCAGTCAGTCTGTTGTCGGTCGGATTTTCGGCTGTACTCACAATAAAGGTTTTATGTGTCTTTTGATTATTTGATGCAATGAATTTGCTTGGTTTGCGGGTATAAAAGGATTTGCTGCCAAAATGGAACACATCAGCAAAGAGTTTTCTTCTCACTCTCTTTGTAATTCCTTATACAAGTACACTGACCAAAACAAGTGCAAACAATACATTAGTTGGGTGCAACAGTAACTGCGATAGCTGCGGCAACAAACAGTGTACTGTGGCGCAACAAGAACTTTTCATTGGTAAAAAAAAAACTATAACATAGGATTAGTTTAGACAGTAGTTTCTTGACTCATTGGTGCAGCAATATTTTATGGACCACACTTTTATTTATTATAAATGAAAAATCGTTTAGCGAGTTTCAAAAGTTTCCTGCAATGTTGTCCAAACAAATAAACGAGAAGAACTCTGATAGCTAAGTTCTCATATACGATTTTTAAAACTGAATACAAAATATTGACTACTTCCGATATTTTGTAAAAATATCTTCACAATATGTGATCTACTCTATAATGCTTACGACTTAAATATCTATAATAACAGTCTGAAATAAATAATAATAAATAAATTGAATTTGAAATTGACGAATCGTAGTTTCGAATAGAATATTGACTTAGAAATAAATATGAACTTTGAATTTTCATAGATTATGAATAATCGTACGTCCATTTCGTATTTCTTTTTAAATTAAAAGAGGAATTACTTTAATACAATACTAATAATATTTGATTAATTTATAAAGTATTAATAAAGTTCTATGATCATCAGAAATTGATAAGGATAAGTATTGCAAAAAATGCTAAATTTGATGTTTACATATCAAACACTCCAGTCAAACCACAAATTTAAATACAATTTTCAGTCCGAACACGGCTTTTTCATATCAAGCATTCCATTAAATATCAAACTAAATTTTACAATTTTCAGTGTGAACACGCCTTTTTCAGGACAATCAAGTCAGATTGAAGTACGGGTTTTATAGGTTTGACTTGTGTTATAATTTTCGCAATCAAGATACATTTTTAAAAATACATAGAATTTAGTTTTACAAATATTGCTTTTGTAAATCTGTCGTGTGTCTATTAAAATACTTAGCATATATTGGCTACTTGGATGTCGACTGTCCCTGTCTTTCTTCGGCTTCTGCCTCTAACCTTTCATTATTCTCAATCAGCTCTTTTACAACGGATTTGGCCAGCATATTGAAGACTGTCGTTTCATTAATGCGCTGCAAGGTGGCTATTTCTATCCTTTCTGGAATCAACTTGGAGCTGTCCCATGTCCTGCTCAGCACCTTTATGGCCAGCTCCTTGGCCTCGTCGAGACTAATAGTCTTCCCCTTTCCCAGTTCTCTATCCAGTACGGCAGTGGCAGCACCAACATTTTTGCCAATACATGTGGCCTTCCAGCTACTATAGTTTCCACTAGGATCGGATTGAAGCAGCTGGTAGCCCTTCTCCTTGTCCCAGCCCATATAGAGCAGAGAAACGCCAAATGGGCGCTTCCCACCGTACTGGGTGTAGGCCTGCTTGATGTCGCACAAATCTGAGACAAGCTGTTCGCATGGTATTTCCTCTCCGTTGCCAAATCGGTAATGCTGCGAAATCAAACGAGCCTCCTTTATTAAAACATCAGCATCACCAGTAATGCCAGCCACAGAGCACACCATATTCTTGTTGATCCGATATATCTTCTCAGATTCGTTAGTTAGCTCCATCAACCTGCTCTTATTGCCGGACTCAGCGCTTAGCAAAATGCCGTCCTCCGCCTTAATGCCCAGACATGTGCCAGCATGGGAAATAGACTCCATGGCGTACTCAACCTGGTAAAGACGGCCCTCCGGGGAGAACATTGTGGTACGCAAATCATAACGACGCGACATTTCAGTTTTTGTTCAAAAAATATATGTATTTTGTGTTAAAGTTAAATAGGAACAGGTCTGTATTGCGGTGTGGTTACTTTTGGTTGTGTGGATATTTATGTATTAGCTTTTTACTGAAATAGAAAAGTTGATGCGATTTCTAAAAGGTTGTTTACAACCCTGTTAAACACAACGACTATTTTTAACTATCTTATGTTCCAAAGTAAGGTCTTATGCTGTGGAAGACTGAGTTACCATTAGGCTGTAGAATTCATTCTTAATAATCAAACATAAAAATCCACAAAGATGATCAGTATAATTTCTTAAATATGGGATATGTTGGCAAATATTACAATTCCAACCTTTTACTCTGTCTCTCCTTCTCCGTCGCTCTTTTAAACAACCACTCGTAATATCTCAACGCTTTCAGAAACATAATCTCTCAGCCATAGTCAAAGGAAATTGAGACATTATCTTCAAGCCTAGTTCTCTTTGGCAATATTCCACATATGGAAAATATGTATGGTTCCGATATAATGATATACTAATCGATTAAAATGAAGATAACATATTAGATGACAATGAAGAGTAAAATGGATTTGTAATAGAGAACAAGAAATGTAGACATAGTACTTAAAATTATGAAGATAAAATGAATATATTCGAGTATGGAAAAAACTTGTGTCTGTACAATAGTTTTCCCTATTTCTGTCTTAAATAGAAGGTGAATATATAAATCATAGTTTCCCTACCAGAATCCAATAATAAAATACCAATATTAATATCGAAATTCACAAGCAATAAAAGCGTTGCAAGAACCCCAGTAATCTTCTACCAGTAGAAGCAATATTTTTAACCGGTAATATATGTATTTGTGCCACAGTGCACTGTTGCTTCATGCATGTGCGATATGGGAAATTTATCGTGCCCGATAAACGTTAATAAATTAATTAGAATTATTGAAATGCGTCGTCCATGGAGCCATGGCAATGCACCCATTGTCAGGGGCCACTACTACCCTACAAACAATTCTAATGCAAACACAGCGCCATGGGTTTGCCGCCATTATGCGCTGATTTGTGTTGCATGCTTCAGTGTTGCATATACGTTGCATGCCGCAAAACGTTGCACTCGGAATGAAGTGCAGACAAACACACACACACACACACACTCATAGGCTTTGAATTAGTTTGTTTGAAGTCCGCTCTTATCTCAAGTTGTAGATTTTGGAAATTTTGTAGTCATTTTGGGAGCACTGCCATTTGCATTTTGAAGCCGGAAATGGAGTGTGGCAGCCACACTTTTATCAATTAAATTTACGCCGTGCATAAAGTGCCACAAAAATATTGAAATTGATTTATGTTGCTGCTGCAATTTTTGGTTTAAACTCAGCAAGTTGGCAATTGAAAATGTTAAGGCACTTTATTTCCTTCTACCTTTTTCGAATTTTTTCCTCTTCTTACACACCAAAACTTTGGCATCTTCCGTTTTTTCGCCATCGTTCTTTTTTTAATGGCATTAAAAAGTTTTCTGCTTTCGCCCCAAAGTTGAAGCACTAAGGTGCCTTTTTTTATTGGCCGCCAGTGTCCAGACAAAGCGCTCGACGTGTTCGCCCCGCAGGAATTCTTGGCTCAAGGTGGCAACAACAACAACAAGCGAGACAACAAAAAACGCACAAAATAAAATACACCGATAGGAAAAAAGTTAAATAAAAGTTTTTTAGCGCACAAATGTTTTTCTGCTAATTGAAAATATCTGTTGGGTTCAATTAGACGACGACTTTTGGCACCGTGTGGTGGCGGCTTCGGCGGCTTAAGCGGCTAAGCGCCCCTCCCCCCCAAATGCATGAGCAACGCTTATTTAAGCACTTTTCTGTTTTTGGCTTCCACTTTGTCTGACTTTGCAGCTTGACGAGGTTACTCCGTCCTGCCCCAACTATTAAAATTTAGATTGGCCGAAGTAACAACGAATCGTTTATTAACACAAATTTCGAGTTGAAAAGTTCAGCGTAAAGCTAGAGTTAAATTTAAATTGAAATATACAAATTCTATGAAAAGAGTCGAATATATCAGAGGCTAAGCTAAAGCAACGATATGAGTTTCTATGAATCTCAATGTATTTTCGTTTTTAATTGCTTTTGGTGACCTCACAAGTTTATTGGGTTCGTTAGTTGAGTTTTCATGTATTTATTAGTTTTAAAGACTCTTTTCACCTACATATACAACAAAATTAGGAAGTAAAACTCGATAGAATGAGTTGCTCAAAAATATGAATTATTTATTTCTTTATATACTACACGCAACATAAAATTGTTATATCTTTAGTTTTTATTTAAGAACTGTCATTGGTTAGACAATTATAAAATTAAACAATTAGAAATTTTATGCTTACTTAAAATTTAACGAAGCTATAGCTTCTTGGGCCTTCAGCTCCCTATAAGTACAGAAGTGTGTGTCTTATAATTATAAAACATTTAATATTAAATATTTTAATAATAATTGAAGAATTTTTTAAAATGTGCGTACCCTGATGTAATGGTAGAAACCAAATTTTTTGGACAAGGGAGAGCATTAAAATTCATTAAACAATTTGTGTAAAATTTGTTAATTTCTTTTGTCACAACTATATCTTTGGATGCTTTAAGCTACATTGCCATAATTATAACAAGCCTAAGATTTAGAGTTCCCCAAAAATATAAATATTTTGAGAAAATGTTAAAAATATTTCAAAAATCAACCCAACAAGTTAATACAAACTAATAACATTTGTAAAAGTTTTAAAACTTCCCAATGACCTACGGTTTATATTCTTCAACAGGCGAACAGACAACCATGAAGAACATTTAAATACACAAAAATTAGAATGAAAAACAATTTTTGAATCGGTCAAAAAAGTGTGTGATACTTAACATGTTTAATACAAAGTTAGCGATAAGAGCCAGTCCAAATGGGCCCAACTTTTTTTATAAATCAACAAAGTCTTCTATTAATAATAAATGTATCATTTTGCATATTTTAACAATTTCCATGATTAAATCTGACCACAATTCCTGATATTAAATGTTAAACGGAAAAGTGTTTTTAATAATAACGATAATGTGTAAAGACTCATGAAAATATTGTGAACTACTAATTCTTAGTAGTGTGCAATCTAAAATATTTATTTGTGTTTTGCAAAAAATATTTATCTTAGCATTTCTGAGAATTTCAAGTTCATAAACAAAAACAAAACTATAACTAAAACTAACAATAAATAGTGTTGCTCTAGTTTTATTAGCAACATTTAATGCAAAGCTTTATGAACTTTAGTTAATGCCCACACAATAAATAATCAGGCACACTCACATGTTAGAATAATTGAACCTTAAGCGCCAAATGACATGCACAAATTGTCAATTAAAAGGTATTTAAGCGTAATGCCAGGTCAAGCCCACCAGACGGCAACGTGACACGCACGAGCCACACGAAGCGTTTAATCCACGTAAATTAGTGCAAAAATCAAGTGGATACCTTTGCTGCCACGCATCGCTGCTGTTGTTGCCACAACATATGCCCATGATATCCCCCTTATCTCTCCCACACACACCGACACACACACACACACACACACACAGGAGGCAAAGAGCAAACATGGCGGCGACGGTGGCAGACACGACACCAATAAAGCCAACAAAGCGTTTTTAGGGTTAAGTCCATGTCAAAGTGTCAGTTTAGTATCGGTATCATGTCATGTCGCTGCTCCACGCCACCAAATTTGTATCTGGATAGCTATAGCTGTTCGAGTGGATGGGGTGTGTATGTGTGTGTGTGTGTGTGTGTGTGTGTAGGTAGTGTGGGGTTTTAATTTCGTGTGTGCATAACAACGACGGCCCAGTCCCCCGGGCTCGACACGTTGGTTCGTTGAGGTGCAACGCTTTGCTAATGAATTTAACAAGGATTTTGTGCCTGTGCCTATGCCTATGCCTGTTCCTGTGTCGGCTGCCGTTTGTTGATGGTCGCAATGCACAATTTTCCGGCAGAAGTCGCGTTGCACGTTGCACAGCATGCTCATTAAAATGTCAGTGAGATGACTTCCAGAGGATGTTGTTGGGCATCAGCTGCACTTTGTTGCCGCTTTGTTTATCCTGCCAGCATATTTTTCAAATGTTTCGTTTGCATAAGTGAAAGGCCACAAAACGAAGATAACAACGTGCGCACAGGACCTGACCCTACGACCAAACCACATCCTCGTATATACGCAACATTGGCGTCAACAATAACAACTACAAGTTGAAGAAGAGTAGAAGCTCCACTTAGAAAAAATCTGACAAGGCCAGGCATTGTTTCAAACAAAATGTTCCTACATAAGACTTCACTTTCTTGTCTTCTGTATAAAATGAGAAATTCATTTCGCGAAACAATTATGTACCCATATAATATACTTATATAAACAAATCAATATTTCATTAAATGTGGTTCTTATTGTGCTTCACATAAAACAAACAACATAAGCAAAAAAATGTACAAATTGGAAGAAATAGTTGCCAAAAAGAATTGTTTAGAAATTTTAATAAAATATAGTTGTTTCTAAAAATAAATTCAAAAAATGAGGGTTAACTTTTCATTCACAGCTAGCCGAAGAGCAAATTATATTTCCCCACCGGGTCGCAGGCGTTAATTAGATATTATTGTAATTTGATTAGATTTCTCCATCTTAGGCTTTCCTAGCTTAGCATCTTGTTTTTATAATTTTTATTTATTTCCTATGTCGAAAGTCAATGTTTTCGATTACGAAAAAATCGGACTTCAAAAAGCAGTTCTTATTATTTGTAAAATCTTTAAAAAAAAAACCGGACTTTTCTAAACATCAAATGAATTTTAGGTTGCTATAAGTTTCTAAAAATAAATTCATTAAATAAATTTTAACTTTTCATTACCGAATAAATCGGACATAAAAAAGCAGTTAAATCATTATAAAATCTTTTAAAAATGAGTTTTCACATGATCAGAAACTGATTTCTAAAAGCAAAGAAAATCGTATTATTATTAAAATATTTAAAAAACAAAAAACTTTTAACTGTTAATTATGTTAAAAAACAAGCTTTCAAA